GGGGGATAATACTCTCTTTTCTGTTTCAGTATATGAATTCAAAACTAATGAAACACAAATTATACATTACATTTATTAATTCGATACAAGTCCACTATTCATAGAAGAAAACAGGGGAATTATTACATGGAAGTGGAAATACACGCACTAGATGGAATTAAGGTTGATCTCTCTTGGCAGAAAAGCTTATTAACTGGGTGGGTGTATTTAGATCAACCTAGTAGCAACCACAAATTTCACTGGGGCAGCCCATAGCACATGGATCCTGATGAGCATTCCCCTGAAAGCTCACAGAGCGAAAAGGCTTTTCTTCTTCATGATCATAAGAGCTTGTTGTTTCAGCCCATTGTTGTGTGCTAGAAGCTGATTCATCCATTGATAGCACGATACGTGATACAGCTGGGTAGCCATGGTAGAAGAAAAAAGCAATAATATACTGTATCTTGTTTCTGGCCATTGATAAAAGCTCAAGGTTTGGTGAAGCCCTAAGGCATTTGTCAAATGAATAAGGCTATTGAAAGTGACATTACATAATTGCCAGCTTGCTCTTATTGTTTGCTCTCATCATTTACAAACTGTGAATTGAATTTGAAGTTCAACGCTAATCTTTAAAGTCAGTGTTGAAATATATTCTAAACTAAAGTCACGGAGAGGACTGAAGGCTGGACATATTCGTGGCCAATCGAGGGAATGAAGGTTCTTGACTTGTTCTACATTTCTTTATCCTTAGAAAAACCAAATACTTACATGTTACTCACATAGTTGACAAAGTTATAATTGGAAATCGAGTGGATATAAAAAGGAATAATGCTGTTATGATCCAGAAGCTTGTAAACCTTGAGTTGCAATGACAACCAATAATCATAAATGAGATTTAACTTATATAACAGCGGAAAGCGTAAAATTTTTAATACTATTAACGTATGTTGTAGTAGGCAACTAATCTAATTTATTATGGCCGATGACATGTAATTATCTTTTATGTGACCAGATTGTATAAAATGGTTTACACTATCGCAGCATAAACGTTAAAGCTTTACTATTTATAGCAATGCTGATTTCTGACATTGTATTATCAGCCACTTATATCATCGTCTGTTGTAATCAGTTAGTCGCTAATTAAAATTCATCTTTGGAGTAAGCTCCTATATTTCAGATGTCGATGTTGAAATGCATTACGGATTTACTCGACATGTATAATTTAAATAGCTGGAATTGCTGAATATATTTTCTTCCAAAATGATGCAAGTGCGTGAAATTTAGAATAACTGATCAAGTTGGTTGCCTTGCCTCTCTACTTCAAGCTTCATCATCAATCAAGAATTAGCAAGAACTAAAATATTTATCTTTCATCACCATGAATCTCTCGATGCCTTATTTTATATACTGAATAATAAATTTATTTGCTGCAAGTAGTATCTAATTTAAGGCAGAAATTGATAGCTATTCCATATTTATCACCTTGAACACTTAAAGACGAATTAAACGAAGCGGTGTCACGCAACAACGCTTTGTCGGAAAATTTTACTAAATATGTGTATTAATTTTGTGTGAGGAAATAAATAAGTAAGGAAAAAATGGCACCACTTGACACACATTGTCTCCTGGTGTGTTGGTTATGTGCCTGGTCTTGCTTTATGAGGTTAGAGGTTTGAGCCTTAACTAGCACGTATTTTTTGCAAATATTTGATAGAGCCTATGTGGTTAAAAATTATGATTAAATAGAATTGAACTCAAGACCTTTTCTAACTTAAAACTCAAAAAATTAATGGACTAAGGTTATTTTCTATGTAGAAATATGATAATTAAAGTTATTTATTCCCGTTCTTATATAAATTTCGATATCGCTTACAAAATTCATGCATGCGTCTGTTTCCCAATGTTGTTATTTGCTTTCTACTAAAAAAAGGTGTCACGCATAAATTTGTTATTAGCATCTGGAATATATGTACAAAAGTCACAGTGTAGAAGCTGTTAAATAAAATGCAAAACCATATCGACTCTCATTTTACCAATATAGCTGGAATCTGAGATGGATTCTTCATAATATCATAGGGCACAAATTAAGAGGATGGCAGAGAGATAAAAAACATCAGGCACACTTAAGAGTAGAAAAATTCCACTTAGACAAACAGTAACATTACAAAGGGAACTTTCATAGGTGCCAATAGAGTCTTCTAGACAAAGTACAGTACACCTATAAATATTATATTTTCACACACAGATATAGAAGCATGATCTACGTATATCTCTTGTCAGAGGCGGAGCTAGAGTACTAGTTACGGCCTGGACATCCACAGCCACATGCGCAATTTCGACATTTACAGACGACCAAGAGTCGGCGATTGCGAGACATTCCTAGCAAAAGTCATGAAAATTAAGCTGATTTTCTTCTTCATCAATATAAGAAAAACTGCTTGTTGGTGAGTGTGATAAAGCTGGGTTAATCAACAAAATAGTGGTAGTAAGAATAATCATGAGAATAATTATGCTGCTGCTTCTGGCCGCCATTGCTAAAGTTTAACGACTGACTCACTTGCTAGCTTATTAATAAGGTTCTAGCAAAGTTATTATACTAGTATAAATACACCAGCATTGGCCTGCTCTTATTCTTTGTTAGATACTGTAGTAATATTTTGAAGAAATCCACCTGCAGGAGCAAGATTCTAGCTAATTCGGCTTCCACTCTTGAAATATATTCCAGACTATGTCAACATATGTATTATTTTAAAAGGTTAAAAGTTGGTATATTTGATACTATAATGACAGCCTGCTCTTTATTTGTTGTGATCACCAATTAGAAACTTACTTTAGAAGTTACAATGTCCCTGAACCACTTCCATGGACATTGTACACAGGTTACAGTCAGAATCAAGCAAAATGCATGCACGTGCAAGGGACAAGTATAAATGGTTATTTCTGATAATTTCTGAACGTAAAGATTGCATATTTGATAAGGAGCAAGACTCCTTACTTGAAGAGAGCTCTATCCAAGAAAAGGAAAGAGTTAGAGCTTGAAGTTAACTAGAACTCTTCCTTAATGGAAGAGAAAGCATTAGACCTCTAGTTAATCTTTATTCTACTAACTTTATAAATTTTAGTTTATTCTGTTTTACAGGTAACACACATATACTGAAGTTAAGCAGAATTGAGAGAAAATTAGCAAGGCATTTTGTGAGCAATTTCTGTGAGATTCAAGAGTGCGAATCCTGAAGCTACGCGAACCAGATTGAAGAATCAGCTCCATAAAGAGTTTTATGTGTCTATCTTTATTTCTAGTTCAAAGTGTAATAAGCATTTTGAGTTTGTAACGTCCTGGCCGGTCGTTTTGAGAGTAATAGCACCGATCCCCCGTTTACTGCTTTCCCTGTATCTTTTTCTGCTTCTGTGACTTGCCGGGAGGTTGTTGTGGGTTCGGAGTGAATTGGGACACTTAGTCCCTAAAATGGAAGCTTAAGTCTTAGAATTTTGATCGTGGTTGGAACTGTATGAAGATGACTCCGGAATAGAGTTTCGTCAGTTTCGTTAGCTCCGTTGGGTGAATTTGGACTAGAAGCATGTCCAAAATGTGAATTGGAGATCTATAGCTAAATTAGGATTGAATTGGCGAAAGTCGAATTTTTGAAAATTTTGATCGGTAGTGGACTTTTTGATATCAGAGTCGGATTCCGATTCCGGAAGTTGGAATAGGTCCGTAATGTCAAATATGACTTATGTGCAAAATTTGAGGTCAATCGGACGTAATTTGGTAGGTTTTGGCATTGGTTGTAGAAGTTTGAAGTTTCAAAGTTCATTAAGTTTGAATTGGAGGGTGATTCATATTTTTAGCGTTGTTTGATGTGATTTGAGGGCTCGACTAAGTTCGTATGGTGTTTTAGGACTTGTTGGTATGTTTGGTTGAGGTCCCGGGGTCCTCGAGTGAGTTTCGGATGCTAAATGGATCGAAATTTGGACTTGTGTAATTCCTGAAGCTTTCAAGCTTCTGGTGTAATCGCACCTGCGGTGGGGTGGCCGCAAGTGCGGACACACACGTGCGAAAGACCAAGATGGCCAGGGGTCGCAGGTACGAGGAAATTTCCGCATCTGTGAGCCCGCATATATGCTTGAAGTTCCGCAGAAGCGGAGAGTGAGCTGGAATGGGAGACCGTAGAAGCGGACCACTGTCCGCAGGTGCAACCACCTAATCGCAGAAGCGGTCCCAGTCACCTTGAGCCATTTCCGCACCTGCGATGGAAATTCCGCAGGTACGGTGTTGCAAGTGCGAAATCGCTGGGCAGAAAAGAGGAAATTTTTAGTGTTTGGTCTCATTTTCAATTTTGGAACCTTGAGAGCTTGAATTGGGCGATTATTTGAGGGATTTTCAGAGAAAACTTTTGGGTAACGATTCTTAACTCATTTATGGTTATTTTCCACTAATATATGGTTGATTTCATCATTTAATTTCAGATTTGGGTTGAAATTTTAGGAAAATGGGAAGAAATTCTTCAACTAAGATTTTGGGTTTTGATTGAGATTTTGACATCGTATTTGGATAATTTTGGTACGAGTAAACTCATGAGTGAATGAGTGTTCATATTTTGTGACTTTTACCCGATTCCGAGACGTGGGCCCGAGGAGACTTTTTGAGGCGATTTTTTAATTTCTCGCTTTAGCTTTGATTTCATTAATTAGATTAATTTCTTATAGTTGTATTTATGATATGTAATTTATTTTGGCTAGATTTGGGCCATTCGGAGTCGGATATTCGTGGAAAAGGCATTTTTACCGATTGCTTGAGCTTGGTTCGAGGTAGGTGGATTGCCTAACCTTATATGCGGGAGATCCCCTTAGGATTTGGTACTGTTGTGATATGTGAGCGCCGTGTACGTGAGGTGACGAGTGCGTACACAAACTATTTGTTGTAAAACCATATTTTTCACTGAGTAGTGATCTGTTTTCATTTTAATTGAGTTATACCAACATGTGTAGTTACCTTGTTTAGTCTAATATCCCATGTCTACGTGCTTTAACTGCTTATTTGAACTCTATGCAGCATGGCTAATTGATTTCCTGTTTTACGTTGATATTTATCAGTATTAACTGTAGAATTCTTGCTGTTAACTGTTGTATTTATCGGTTTGAGCTGTGTGTTTACTTTTGAGACTACGAGGCGGTTCCTCGGGAGTTCTCCTTGCACATTTACTTTTGAAATTACGAGGCGATTCCTCGGGAGTTCTCCCTGTACATTTACTTTTGAGACTACGAGGCAGTTACTCGGGAGTTATTCCTGCACATTTACTTTTGAGACTACGAGGCAGTTACTCGGGAGTTATTCCTGCACATTTACTTTTGAGACTACGAGGCGGTTCCTCGGAAGTTCTCTCTGCACATTTACTTTTGAGACTACGAGACGGTTCTTCGGGAGTTCTCCCTGCATATTTACTTTTGAGACTACAAGGCGGTACCTCGGGAGTTCTCCCTGTATATTTACTTTTAGGACTACGAGACGGTATCTCGTTAGCACCCCTGTTGTTATATCATTGTGCGGTGTTGTCATTGCTTTATGAATACTTGTTGTTGTCTTCTCCGTTTTACTTCATATTTTTTATTATAGCATATGTCTTATTACTATATCCTAGTAGGGCCTGGACTTGACCTCGTCACTACTCTACCGAGGTTAGGCTTGGCACTTACTGGTTACCGTTGTGGTGTACTCATGCTACTCTTCTACACATGTGTTGTGTGTAGATTCATGTATTTCTTATCAGCCCCGCTACTAGCTGAGAGTGCTTGCTGCTGTACGGAGACTTCAAGGTATATCTGACACGTTCGCTGACCTCGGAGTCCCCATCTATTCCCTCATATGTCATTTACCTTCCTTACGTCTTTTATTAGACTCTAGTGTATAGAGATACTAGTTTCCTTCCGTAACTTGTGACTTATGATGTTCCGGGTTTTGGGAATACTGTGTATTATTAGAGTGTTGGTTATTGTAAATACCGAGCGTCATTGTTATAAGTTATTTAGTTATCTGTTACAGTTAGTTGTTAAGTTTGGTTTCCATTTTTATTATTTCCGCATCTTTGTTAGGCTTACCTAGTCATAGAGGCTAGGTGCCATCACGACATCTTACAGAGGGAGAATTGGGTCGTGACAAGTTGGTATCAAAGCTCTAGGTTCATAGGTGTCATGAGTCACAAGCAAATTTAGTAAAGTCTCGCAGATCGGTACAAAGACGTATGTATTTATCTTCGGGAGGCTATGAGACTGTAGGAAAATTTTACTTCTTTGATTCCTTGTCGTGCGAAATTGTTGACTTTGAAATTCTATACTTCTGTATTCTATTCTCTCACAGATGGTGAGGACACGTATAGGCGGAGCTGATGACCAGGTACTCGCACCCCCTGCTAGAGCTGCGAGAGGTCGAGGCAGGGGTAGAGGCAGAGGACATCCACGCGGTGCAGCCAAAGCACCCGAACGAGCTGCTACAGAGGAGCCCCCAGTAGCTCCAACTGAAGAGCAGATACCTGAGATACCTGTTGCTGCACCAGCCTTCCAGGAGACTCTAGCCTAGTTTCTGAGCATGTTCAGAACCTTAGCTCAGGCTGGATTGATTCCACTTGCTCCTGCCACATCTCAGGCAGGGGGAGGAGCACACACTTCCATCGCCGATACTCCAGAGCAGCGGGTTCAGGCCGACCAGGTTTCAAAGATAATACCGATGCAGCCGGTAGCTCAGGTTCAGCACGAGACTAGGACAACTGCTTCGGAGGCGGAGTAGCTCAGACTTGAGAGGTACAAGAAGTACTACCCACCTACCTTCAGCGGATTGGCTACAGATGATACTTAGGGTTTTCTGGAGGAGTGTCATCATATTCTCCGTACTATGGGCATAGCAGAGACGAGTGGGGTTTCTTTTACCACCTTCCAGTCTAGAGGAGCAGCCTATCAGTGGTGGCATGCTTATGAGTTGAGTAGTCCGGATGGGGCAACTTCACTTGCATGGACTCAGTTATCAGACATATTTTTGAGAGAGTATGTCCCTCAAAGCCTCAATGAGTCATGGTGCGTGGAGTTTGAGCAGTTGCGCCAGGGTGCTATGACCGTGTTAGAGTATGCAGTCCAGTTTAGTGATTTGGCATGACATGCACCGGCCTTGGTTGCCACAATTCGAGAGAGGGTTCAACGGTTTATTGAGGGACTAAACCCCAGTATCCGGATTAGTATGGCCAGGGAGTTGGAGATGGATATTTCTTATCAGCAGGTTATGAGTATCGCCAGGAGATTGGAGGGCATGCTTACCCAGGATAGAGAGGATAGAGAGGCCAAGAGGTCTCGAGACACTGGTTCTTATTCTGGTGCTCGTGCCCCAGTAGCTC